CGAACCCCCGGGGCGCCGCGACCGGCGACGAGATGGGGGGGACGCGCGGCCCCCGGGGCGCCTCGACGGGCGACGGGATGGGAGGACGCGCGGCCCCCATGGCGCCGCGACGGGACGACGCGAAGAGGGGGGGGGGGACGCGCGGTCCCTGGGGCGCCTCGACGGGCGACGGGATGGGGGGGACGCGCGGCCCCCGTGGCGCCTCGACGGGACGACGTGAAGGGGGGGGACGCGCGGCCCCCGGGGCGCCTCGACGGGCGACGGGATGGGGGGGACGCTCGGCCCCCGTGACGCCACGACGGGCGACGGGAGAGGGCGCCGCGGGGCCCCCCCGGGGCACCGCGACGGGTGACGGGAGAGGGCGCCGCAACGGGCGACAGGAGAGGGCGCCACGACGGGCGACGAAACCGCCGCGCGCGCCCGGGGCGCACGGCGGGTAGAAAACCGCCGCGCGCCACGAGCGCGCGGCGGGATGAAAAAGTGTCGCGAAGAAACTTGACGAGAGGAAAAGTTGCACTAAGAAAAGTGTCGAGGTACATTTGTAACAGATAGTTGGAAACCAATTGAACTTATGGTGTGTTTAGTGTGTGTTAGAAACTACGAAATGAACCTAAACTAAATCTAAAGTGTAACTTGCTCTAAACATGGAGAAATCACAAAAGAACACCATGATAAATACCAGAGCGAGCTCTAGCCTACTCCGACACACCCCCAGGCTAGGCGAAGCTCTGGAACAGAACACCTATTGAAGCGGAACACCCCCAGAAGTGGCGAGACGAGTGAGTCCGAGCGCGCGCACGTAGAAACGGTGCGGCGCACGAAGGAGAGCCTCGGTGAAAATGTCAGCAAGGTTGGCATTAGCGGCCACCTTGCGAAGGCATAGGAAACCAGACTGCACCAGCTCACGCACGAAGAAGTAGCGGACCTCGATATGTTTGCTGCGAGCGTGATAGACAGGATTTTCAGTCAGATGAATCATGCTCGCACTGTCACATGCAAGCGTCACAGAGGGCTGAGAGTGACCCAGCTCAGCAAGGAGAAAGGAGAGCCAACGAGCCTTTTGAGCTGCCAACGTGCCAGCGTACAGCTCAGCCTCGCAGGTGGAAAGGCAGACAGAGGTGGAACGCGTGGAGCGCCAGCTGATGAGGCCACTGCCAGGAGTGAATCCATATCCCTAAGAAGAGCGGTGTTTAGGGGGAAGAGTTGCCGTAGCCACAATTGGGAGCGAGCTTCCCACCCTGGCGTGACCGTTCTGCCGGATTGACAAGGGCATGGGCAACACACCCTCGTACCCGAAGAGGGCGGACAGTAGGCTGGCGGCTAGTCCAAAGCTAGAAGGGAGTAGTAGTGGGGCGAAGAGGGTGTGGGCGAAGGTTAAAAAGCAGAGTGGCATGTAGAAGAGCATAGCTCCAGAGAGAGTGGGAGGTGGAGGCTGTTAGAGACTAAGGACGGAGTCTATGAACATTAGGGGCCGAAATATCTCAAAATCGTTGGACGTCCAGTGTTGTCGCCAGCATCTTCATTGAAAACCCGAAATCGTCGACACACTTCATCCGATTTGTCGCACCTCGTCCCGTATTGCCAGCGGTGTCCCATCCACCAGCCTTGCGTCGATCTCCGGCAGACAACTGTCCAACTTGACTCCGATTGTTTTGGCCGTTGCCAGGTTGACGAGACTGTGGCTCGCCCCACCGTCAATGAATATTTTTATTTTATGTCTGTAAACCCTCCCCACGACCAGCACATGGTGATCCACATGTTCATCCACTTTATTCGTCCGGTTGCGGTTGATAGCCCGTATCGATACCATTACTCGGTGTGGATAGTGAGTGGCGGGCGGTCTCGTCAGTAGGTGGCCTGACTGCTACTGACTCGTCTCTTTTCCCGACCCCTCTCCATCGTTCCTGTGTCCCTTTTTCAGCTCCGGGCAGTCTTTCCTCCAGTGGCCCGGTTGGTTGCAGTTAAAGCACGGCCCTGAGGCTCGTTTAGGCGCATCCACACCGTTGATCGTGGGCTGTTGAGGCGATCTATGAAAACGAACTCATTCTTGCCCATTGCATCAGCGCGTCCGTTGATTCGGCCAGCTGGACGGCATCGTTGAAATCGCGTGGCCTCGTACGTCGCACCTCGAACTGAATCTCATACTTGAGGCTTGCGACATATTTATCGAGCCGCTCCGCGTCTCCCATATCGTCCACTTGGTCGGCCAAAGCTCAGAACGTCGCTGTGTAGTCTTGGACCGAAGTTAACTGCTTCCAGGCACGCAGCTTTATGCGAGCAGAATCCGAGGTGGATACGTGCTCGAATCTGGTTCGCAAGGCTGCGCCCCACTCCGTCCATGTGCGTACCGTAGCCACTCCGAAGATTAAGGTTGCTCGTTGCGTGACAGATGTCCAGGTCCCGTCGTTCCCACGTGATATCCCTGCCGGAGTCCCCTCTGACTCTATCGTGCGTCGCCACCACTCCAACGCTGGTCCTTGTAATATCGACACTGCAAAATTAATACGGGTGGCATCATCAGCAATTTGCGCAGCATTAAAGAAAACGTCCACTCTTAACAGCCATGCAGACACAGTGACGTTCTTGTCGATGGGTTGAACGGGGGCGGGTTTGTCGGTTTAATTTTGACAGTTGTAGAAACTGCTGCTGCTGCATGTACCGTTGGTGCTGTCGAAGCCATCGCCGGCGTTGTCGCAGGTGCCTGCCTTGGAATTGTTCGCGTCTGTTGTCTCGGCGCTGCTCGTGACTGTTGCTGTTGCTCTGGGGCTTCTTGCGCCTGTTGCTGCCGTGTCCGCCATTCATCTTGAGCATCCAAGGTGCCTTCCAGCTCGCTGAAAACGTCCTCGTTCAGTGATGAGCTACTGCTCACTTCATCCACGACGGGCAACTCCTGGCGCGCTTCACATCGCGCCTGGCGTAGTTCGGCGTTTTCCACCCTCAGGTGCTCGACCTCCTCAAACATAGTTTGCAAGTTGGCCTGCATCGCCCGAAAGCCCTGTAGGAACGCGTCAAACTTGGCCTGATTCATGTTTCTCAGGCTTCGTCTAACAGACAACGATTTTTATGACTTTGGTGAAGGCGCAAACGCTAACGTAGTCAGAGCGAAATAATCATATATATTTCGCAGCTGACTGCTTTGCAGCCCACCAAGTCTATCGTACCCCGTCACTAAATGACCTCCGAAACGCGAGGGTAACCTAGGAAAGTAGCTATGATACCAAGTGTTATGAGTTGTATAAGAGAAGAGTGCGCATAATGCAATATCGCGGAACTAATTACAACTACTGGCAAAATAATGAGACCTAGCATTCATATAGCGAAGGCTAGCTAGGCTGCGGCCGCGGGACCGCGCATGGTCAGGTGTAGGTTCGGGGTTGGGAAACCCGAAGGCGACGCGAGGGACGTTCGGAAGGCAAGGTTGTCGGACCGAGCCTGAACTCCGAAAGTTGGAGTTGTACACGCATGGGATGCCTCAGTAAGGAATTAGGCAAATTTCCTTACAAATTCTCTCTACGCTACCTACATTGCACTAGTAACAATGGGGTTGTACTACGTCCTTAATATATATTTTTACAGCACCCTTTTGTCAAAATTCACCTTCTTGGCTCGACTATCCTCATAGCAAATACGGGCGTTTCAAACAGCAGTTTCGAATGTTTGCATTTTGAAATGTGCGCGACGTCTTGCATTGCCCCTCCTCACTCCTTCCCCACTTGCCCCACTTTCTCGTCACTTCCCATTACCTTCGATTTCTATCGGCAGCGCCATTATCACTTGCTGCGGTTAGCAGCGTTGGCATCGCATTTTCCCGAGTTCGCGTTTCTATCTAGTAGTAGCTGTCAGAATCCCAGCCACTAGCCACTGGGATAAAAGGGCTTGTTCGTGTAGCGGGTGAGTGCGCCCAAAACCCCCCAGGCCAACGTGCCTGTAACCCTTCCCTAGGATCAATCGGGAATCCCCAGTGGACCTCTGACAGTAGTATTTCGTTGTTTCGTTTGCCGCGTCTCTGATCGTTACTCCTAGTTCGTTCCTCACTGTTGCGGTAGCAGGTCGCGTCCAGGGCCGCCTTTCTGGCCCTGGCACGGGGCTGAAAGTGCAATGGAAGCAGCACACAGGGGGGCGATCATGCAGAAAGGAGAGACTTTACAAACGCAGAGAGAAGGTAGTAAGCAAACGCCTTATCCTGTTACCCCGGAGCAGCAGCAACGTCGGGCCATAGAGGGTGAACGGTTTGATTCCTTGAGTCAATACAGGCGGCGAGAGGCAGCGCGCGAAGGCAGAGAGGCGCAGAAAGGGGGAGAAGCGCAGATTCCGGCGGAGAAGGGCGCAACGGTGGTGAAGGGCGTGACGGCGGGGAAGGGCGCGACGACGGGGAAGGGCGCGACGGCTGAGAATGAAGCGTTCTTGGCAGGGAGGTATCAGCCTTAGTAGGAGTAGGCTTGAGTAACGGGTACAATATGCTCTCTGGAATTCTCTTGAATTTACAATATGACTTCAACAAATTTCACACACAATTTTATAGGATGCATTCACAAATCGAGTCGCACTACCAAGTCGCGACACTCTGAATTTCTCATAGGTAACTCTACCCCTTGAAATGAACCTTGCCGTGAAATTCAGAGATTGATTGCGATGCGGGATTGGTCAACGAGTTGATTACAAGGCTGTAACTTCGTCGGTGTGGTTGGCGAAGTCGGCGAGGGGTCGGAACTTCGGTGTTCTGCGTTTCGTAATTTTCGTGCGTGAGATTGACTTGGGCTGCGCGTCAGGATCTGGTCGCCCAACTGCAGGTTGAGGCATTTGACCAATACGAACAGTTGGTGAGGTGGCGCTTGACTTCCGCCCACCTGCACTGTACTTGGCAGCATTCGGCTGCCACACTGTTACAGAGAAAGGCGCAACATCGGAGAATGGGGAAGGCGTGGAGGCCGGAGGCGCGGAAACGAGAGAACAGGGTGGAGGCGGAATGCATGCGCGGACGCGGCAGGCCGACTTTTGCGATGCGCGTGAGCGCCGCGATGGGCGGAGGAGCGGGGAGCGCGGAGGAAATGTCTCTGGAGCAGCTGATGGGTGTGAGCCGATGGTGCGTGCTGCGCGCCGTGGAGGTCGAGGTGACGGCTAGAGTGGCGGAAAGGCTTGAGGAGATGGAGGAGAGAAAGAGAGAGGAAGAGAGGGAGAGGGAAGAGAAGCGGGAGAGAGTGCAGAGAGGACGAGAGGAGGAGGGTGGGAGAGGAAGAAAGGAAGATAGAGAGACAGAGTGTGCGAGCGGAGGAAAGGGAGAGGGTGAGAGAGGAAGAGAGGAAGAGGATGAGGGAGGAAGAGAGACAGAGTGTGCGAGCGGAGGAAAGGGAGAGGGTGAGAGAGGAAGAGAGGGAGAGGGTGAGATTGGAAGAAAGGGAGAAGGTGAGAGAGGAAGATCGAGAGAGGGTGAGAGAGGAAGAGAGGGAGAAAGTGAGAGTCGAAGAGAGGGAGAGGGTGAAAGTCGAATAGAGGGAGAGGTTGAGAGATGAACAGAGGACGAGGGTGCAAGAGGAAGCGAGAAAGAGAAAGACGGAGGAAAATTGGCAGAGAGCGAGAGTCGAAGAGAGGATGAGAATGAGAGAAGAAGAGAGGAAGAGAGCGCGAGAGGAAGAAGCGAATAAGAGGAGAGAGGTGGTGCGGAAAACGAGGGAGGCTCTAGCGAAGGCGAGGAGGCGCAAAAAGGAGCTAAAGGCAGCGTTGACAGAGGCAGCGAGGGCGGTGGCAGAGATGAAGGAGGGAGTTGAGGCGAACGTGCGGGAGGTGCTGCTGCGGGCGGCGCTGTTTGGCTGCTTCCTAGAGGACGAGACGCCCTTTCAAGCTGCTGCTGGAGGCAGTGCCGGGCACAAGCAAGCTCGCATGGCGGATGGTTCTGCTGCTGCGCACCGCATGAGGGAGGTGCGTAGCGTTGGGCATGCTATCATTAATCCATCCCGAGCCCTCATTCCGTGACCCTCATCGCATGCCCTTCCTCCCATGCATCCAGTTTCACGCCCCCCCAGCCCTGCACCCCATCTACGCATATCTTCTGGCACATCCATGCCACATAACAGAATTGCGCTTTACAGTGATGCATGCGGTGCTCTATAAGCAGCTCTGATATGTGCTGTGCATTCCTATCGTCTCTGCGGCAGAACATGCTTTATGCTTCCCATCCCCATCCTACACCCTCCGTCCACCACTGTTGCTACCCTCGCTGCTCACTTCCTTTCTTCCTTCATACCCGCTCTCACCGTCCCTCTCACCTCCCACCATAACCTTAAACATAAACTTCCATTGTTCACCACCCCATGCCCACCATCCCATGCCACCAATCCAATCACTATCCCAATCCTCCATCCCATTCCCCCATTTCACTCCCCATCCCATTCCCCATCTCATTCCCCCATCCTGTTCTCCCTGCCTTCCAACTCGCACCTTCCATACATCACCTGCCAGCCCTCTCGCCCAGGAAGGCAGGCAGGCAGGCCCTCTCATCGCTTCCTATCACTCTTCCATCGCTACCAATTTTCCATCCCCCCCTTTTCCCTCCCCCGCCTGTTTTCCCTGGCAGCACCTGGAAACCCTTCCAGCCTATGCAGAGGAGGCGAGAGGGAAGGCCCGCGAGGTGAGGAGGAAAGTGCGTGGTCTGTGGAAGAGACACGTGCTGGGTGGTGGGGCGATGCAGGCTGACGTGGAGAGGGAGGAGGAAGAGAGGAGAGAAGAGGACGGGGAGGAGGAGGAGGAGGAGGAGGAGGAGGAGGAGGAGGAGGAGGAGGAGGAGGAAGAGGAGGGGGATCAGGAAGAGGAGGAAGGGGAGGAAGAGCAGGAAGAGCAGGAAGAGGAGGAAGAGGAGGAAGAGGAGGAAGGGGAGGAAGAGGAGGAAGAGCAGGAAGAGGAGGAAGAGGAGGAAGAGGAGGAAGAGCAGGAAGAGGAGGAAGAGCAGGAAGAGGAGGAAGAGCAGGAAGAGGAGGAAGAGCAGGAAGAGGAGGAAGAGGAGGAAGAGAAGGAAGAGCAGGAAGAGGAGGAAGAGCAGGAAGAGGAGGAAGAGCATGAAGAGGAGGAAGTGTTATAGTCACAGTAGGCTCCAATGTGCCTAAAACGAAAGATAGAGTGCACAGTCGGATTTCTGCACAGCGGCTTTAAACGTTTATAGCGTTCTGGTTGTTGGTGCAACCCTACGGTTTGCACTCAGCTTGTTGTCTGTGTGTGTGCATGCGTGTGTGCATGGAATGGTATGAGGGCATGAGATAATATATATTTCATGCTTATAATAGTGTGTGAATGATGAGTCGTGATGTCGAATGTGTGTGTTGAGTCAATAGCGAGTTTTCGCTAGTCGCGTGTCACGCGGTCGTTTGTGTCCCGTGCGCGATTTCTATTTTGTCGTGTGTCTCGTGCACGGTTTCTGTTTTGTCGTGTGTGTGGAACGTTCGGTGTGTCGCAGGTATGTGCAGCAGACCCATCAAAAACTCAAGGATGAGTTTATGATGAAGAACCAGAGCCTTGGTGTCAAGATTCAAGTGATCGCGAAGCCTGCGAAAAGGGTACACCTCAAGATATTGAGAATAGTTACATCACTTGGTGTAGGCCCTTGTGAAGGGTAGTTTCGTGACCCTTCGTGGTTGGGGATAGTGTGGCACTGTTCCACATCACTGTATCTCGGCTCTTGGGGTTTGTAGGAGCTGGGAGTCATTCCCAACTCGTAACTCTTCCTATCTTGTGTTCTAAGACTATCGTGGCTGCCATAGTGCCGTTCGTTCAAACCGACGCTGTGTCGTCAATACTTGGTGAAATCGTGCGATCTAAATTGCCTATTGTAGGCGAATTGATGTCGCTCCAAATCCAAGTTGATTCAGGTCATTTCAAGCTGTGACCAGAACGCTATGAAAGTTTAAAGCCGCTGTGCAGAAATCCGACTGTGCACTCTATCTTTCGTTTTAGGGCACATTGTAGCCTATTGTGACTATAAGAAGTGGTATCAGAGCCCCTTGGAGCAGCTACGACAATGGATGGACCTGAAGAAAGGGGTGACAGAGGTGCTGGAGGCAGTGGAGGACCCCAAGCACAAGGTCAACCCCGTGATTCAGCCATGGCGCCCGCGCAACCTACTCTTGGACCTTCAAGGGATGAACCAAGAGTGTTTGGGCTTGACAAGTTCAACGGCGACAACTTTGCTGAGTGGTCCTTCAGAATGGAGAACGCGTTTGACCACTATGACCTGCTGGAGGTGATGGTAGTGTGAGAAACTAAGAGTGAACGAGAAATGGATGAAACTAGGCAACAGGGGGATACAAGTAGGAAACCCTAACAAGTTGTACCCCCTAAGGCTAAACCCACTATAGCCTACACAATATAAACATATATAATGTTTGACACACCCCCATAGGCTAAGTGGGAGACAACCAGATGGTCACAAGACCAGTCAAAGCAAAGCAAAGCAAGCTCAGGGTGGATCTCAAGGAAACCACACAAATTCTGAGCACAAGCAAGTGGTCACAAGACCAGTTCACATGCAGTTTGATAATATAACAAGAGGTACAGTGATCACAACCTAGAAAGAGTAAGCATGCAGGTATATATATATAGAGATCACAGTACAGGCAGAGTCAAGAAGTGAGCAAGTGAGGGAGAGTAGGCACAAGGCCTAGAACAGTACAGAAACGCTGATGATCACAAGGCTGAAGCACCTTGGTGAACACATCAGCAGTGTTGGCCCGAGTGGCCACGTACGAGAGACGAAGCTGACCATGCTGCTGCAGCTCTCGAGCAAGGAAGTAGCGCAGAGCGATGTGCTTCGTTCTGTGCTCCAGTCTGTGCTCCTGACACAAGGCAATGGCTGCCTTGTTGTCGACGTACAGCACTGGAGGAGAACGAGGCCGCTCTCCGAGGTTGGTCAGCAAGTAGGTGAGCCAGCGTAGCTCCTGGGCAGCCATGGCTGTGGCGTAGATCTCAGCCTCACAACTGGAGCTGAGAACAGAGGAAGAGCGTGTAGAACGCCAGGAAACAGAGCCAGAGCCAAGGCTGAAGGTGTAACCCTGAGACGACCGCTGCGTAGCCTGGTCGTCAGCCCAAGAAGCGTCTGAGTGTCCAGTGAGGACAACGTCGCGCCGTCCTCCAAGCACAAGCCCCATGCCCGACGTACTGCACAAGTAGCGCAACACCCTCTTAGCGGCATCCATGTGCTCCTTCCGGTGACGGCCAGGAGCGACATAGCGTGCTAGGATGCTAAGAGGGTATGCAAGGTCAGGTCGAGTGCAGGTCATCAGGTACATGAGGCAGCCCACAAGCTCTAAATACGGGCCACTCGGCTCTACGGACTCATCCGAAGGCAGAGCTGAGAGCGAGTGACCGGTAGGCAGAGGAGTGGGCTGAGGCGAGGAGTACGTGAAGCGGAAGCGCTGAAGGACCTGCTACACCATGTGTGACTGAGTCAAGGTGATGGTGCGCTGTGCTCTGTCCCGGGTGATCCACCCAGGTCTGTGCACGTGTGTCTCTTCTGCAGCTCCGACTTCACGTGGGCGAGTGCCTCAGTGTCAGCAGTAGCAAAGACCAAGTCGTCGACGTACACGAGAACGTAGAACGGCGGCAGAGTGGTGTCGGTGCGTAGAAACAGCGACGGGTCAGCAGTGGAAGGAGCAAACCCAAGAGCCGCAAGCGTAGTCCTCAGTGTGTCGTGCCACTCACGGGGTGCCTGGCGGAGACCGTAGACTGGCCGCCGGAGGCTCCACTGGGTACCAGGAGGGAACGACCCAGTGAAGCCAGGAAGGCGGCGCAGCCAGATCTCCTCGTGCAGGCTGCCCTGTAGGAACGCAGTGCTGAAGTCAAGAGAGTGGAGCTCATAGTCACGCTGAGCAGCGACGTGCAGCAGAACCCGAAGAGTGGTCATCTTCGGGGTCGGGGAGAAGGTCTGGAAGAAGTCAACTCCCTCTCGCTGACTGAAGCCTCGAGCAACGTAACATGCCTTGAAGACAGGCGGAGAACCCGGCGGCCGCTTCACCCTGAAAATCCACATGCCACTGACGATGTTCGCCCCAGGTGGGGGAACCTCGTCGACGTAGGTGCCTGTGGACTTCCAGGAAGCCATCTCTGCGTCCATGGCTGTCTGCCACTGAGAGGAGTAGAGACCCTCCATCGCCTCTGCGTAAGAGCGTGGGGTCGGGATGTCTGGTGCATCCGGGTCTCCCTCAGGGGCAACTAGCATGGACACGAGATGAGGCAAAGCAGCGGCAAAACACTCAAACTCCTCCTGTATGCTTCAAGGACGTCCGTGCCAAGAGCACACTCACCCCCGACAGACGGAGGACAGGCAGACTCAGACTCAGCAACAAGGCTAGTGGCGTAGTCTAGACGACAGGCAGCAGCAAAGTCAACAAGCTCAGCGACTAGAGCAGATGCAGCGGAGGACTCAAAGGAAGGGTCAGTGACAACAGTGGCAAGGAGACGCGTGACAGTAGGACTGGCAGCACGGAGAGAGTGGTCAGTGAGAGCAGGAAGAGAGGACGCTGGTGGAGACGGCAGTGGGACACGCTGTGGAGCAGTGGAAGGACGCAGGGTCATATAGTGAGTGCCAAGGACAGGAGGAGGACGCTGACGCGGAGCACGACGACCAGTGCGGACAGCGCGGACAGGCGACTCTGGACGCGACTGAGACGACTCTGGACGAGTCTCAGGCGACGGAGGACGAGACTCAGGCTCACGACGCTCCGTAAGACCTCTCGTCGGCTCAGTGTAGGGAGAAGGACCAGGTAGTGGGGAGACTGGCTGTAACTGTGACTGCGACTGGACTCAGTAGGGGAGGAGTAGGACCAGGAGAGGGCGGGATTCCAAGAACCTGCTGAAAGAGCGGAACGTAGTACGGCCGTGGCCGCTCAGCACCTCCACCTCCAACCCCCTCAGCAGGTCCAGTCCCACCAGCTCCAGCAGCACCGCCAGCAGCAGCAGGGTCCCCAGCAGCCCCAGCACCAGCAGCACCTCCAGCAGCACCAGCAGCACCACCAGCAGTAGCAGCACCTCCAGCAGCTCCAGCAGCACCAGTACTAGCAGCACCTCCAGCAGCGCCAGCAGCACCGCCAGCAGCTCCAGCACCAGCAGGACCTCCAGCAGCTCCAGCACCAGCAGCACCTCCAGCAGCGCCAGCAGCGCCGCCAGTAGCAGCAGTACCTCCAGCAGCTCCAGCAGCACCAGCACCAGCAGCACCTCCAGCAGCGCCAGCAGCACCGCCAGCAGCAGCAGCACCTCCAGCAGCTCCAGTAGCTCCAGCACCAGCAGCACCTCCAGTAGCACCAGCAGCACCGCCAGCAGCTCTAGCAGCACCAGCTCCAGCAGAACCTCCAGTAGCAGCGGCACCTCCAGTAGTAGGACAACCAGGGTCCACGATACCGGGAGCGCCACTCCTGAGACTGCAGCGCCGAGCGTACCACTCTCGGAGCCGCTGGGGAGAGGGCAGCTCCCGCCTAGGAGGGGAAGCACGAGCACCAGCTCCAGCAACACTCCGAGCTCCAGAAGCACCCCTCCTGAGGCTGCAGTACTGTAAGTACCACTCACGCAGCTGCTGCGAGGAGAGGGCTCCTCCAGGTGTAGCACGCTCAGTCTCAACACCCTCACGCTCAGCACCCTCAGACGTAGCACTCCCAGTCTCAGCACCCCCAGACTCAGCACCCGCAGGCTCCGCACCCCCAGGCTCAGCACCCCCAGACTCAGCACCCCCAGGCTCCGCACCCCCAGGCTCCGCACCCCCAGGCTCCGCACCCCCAGGCTCCGCACGCTCAGGCTCAGCACCCCTAGCAGGACGAGAGTCGACAGCTACCTCGACAGGCTCAACCGGGTCTACCTGGGACATACCTGAGGGAGCAGTACCCTGAGGGGGGAGGGGGTCTACCACAGCAGCACCTGGCGCGAGGAAGAGAGGCGGGGGGGGGAGCGGGGCAGTGCGGTAGGGGAAGAGGCGGTAGTAGGGCACCGACTCGTCAAAAGTGACGTCCTGAGAGGGCAGGACACGGCGGGAGGTGGCGTGGTAAAACTGCCAACCAGACGCGTCTGGGACAAAGCCAAGGAAGACACAAGGAACAGCGT